AAAAAATCCTGACAACGTATTGCTCTAAACAAGAGCCAGTTGTGGACCTCAGACCTTTCACAAAGTCACCGTCATCCTGTTGCTTTGCTCCAGATGTCTGTGTTATGATGTTGGAATACAGCAGTGAGCTAGTAGGTTTATCCTGTGTTACCCTGGGATGTCCAGGGAGAATTTCTTGTCTTTGTTCCTCTTGGAATTCAGGCACCAAAGTCCTGCGTCCTAAAAGAAAAATGGAGGAGGGATTACCAACAGTTTTTACTAACACAGCAAATGGCAAATCAAAAATTCAAGTGAGTCAAAAACTAACTTTACCTTGATCATTTCGTATGGAAAGTCTGTCTTCTTGCTCTGCTCTAATTTCCTGTTTTTTAAAATGAGGAACATCTTTTAATACAAATACTAATGACTATAGCCTTTGTATAAGTATTATAATTAGTATAATATAGCTGATTATATTGACAGGTGTGTAACTTTCTTCTTAGTATCTTCATGGGAAAATCAAGGCAGAGAGCCTTGTAGATACATACTACTTCCTTTTGTGGCAATCATACTAAAATTCTGCTGCTTGTTGGGAAAGGCAGGTTTTCTGGAGACATGTATGAGATCCATACATCACCCTTATTCTAGAAAGCAGTTCTCCAGGAGCTCCCTCTTTGTCTCAGTGGAATGAGGCTGTGGGGTAGAGAACAGGAGACTGCGGGAGAAGCATGGTTCACTGTGACTATGTCTTCATTAGATAATTTCATCAGTCATTCTGCATTATTTCTTAAGGCTGTGTTATAACATATAGGGTGTGTCTACACAAGACAGGGTCTACACGTGTGTGCCTTTAATGTGCACTAAAAATGGTGAAATTAGGCTAATCACGCCTACATTTGATACCTGCAAATGCAGGCACAATTAGTTAAAGTGCATTCATGCATGCGTAGATGTGACCCAGCACTAACTTTAGTTCCTGGTCTGCCCAGCCACTAGAGGCACATAGCAGGGTTGCAGGGACTTGTCACTAAAATTAGTGCCAAGTTCACTAACTTTAGTGCCAAGTACCTGCATGTGTAGACACTTGCCAAACATTGTTTAACAAGTATTAGTTTAATGCGTATTATATTTAGTCATGCTTAAATGCATGTGTAGATGTGCCCATAGTGAACTCTGATTAATTCACCCTTTCAAGGGGAATATAAATAATGGCAAATTATTCAGTAGTGAGCAATTATTAGGCATTGATTGCTGGGAAGAAGTTCTGTCAGAACATCAGATCAATGGTGAAATAAACAATAGTAGTGAATTATTCCACAGGCAAATTAACCAGAGTTTACTGTGGTGTTGACAGCCACTTTGCAATCAGTGCAGAGACACACAAGTCAAGTCCAGCACTGACAACTGGCTATAGGCAAACCTTAGTCCATTAAGATTTACCCAAAACTAGCTGACAGTGAATGTGGCTTGTCTTGTCTATGGGGACAGCAAGATTGTACTTTTTACTGTGTTGATTAACAAATGCTCAGGCTTGTGTTTTAACTTACTGTAAGTGCTTTGTGAAGATCAGCCCAAACTGACCTTTGTTCTCTGCACAAATGTGGCATAGCTGAAGAACAGGATGCTATGCAGTGTTCATAGAGCAGTATGGGAAATTTCCTTCTACCCTCATGGAACGTTCCCTGTGCTCCAAGCCTAACTACTTGGGATTTGGGAGGGAGGAAGGGAAGAAGGATTTGACCTTAAGTGGTTTGTGCAAAGGCAGAGAAAGACAGATTGTCAGGTTATGTCTTGAGTTTCTGGCTCCCAATTCCGTGCTTAAGTCAGCAGACATTAAGTCTCTCCATTTCATGTTGAATGAATTCTCAGATAGTACCAAATTTCCTTCCTTGAATAATAACCTTTAATGAAAAGGAAAAATGAGCAAACAAGGTAGTGATAGACATCGCAGAGAGGCGTTGGAAGGTGAAGAAAGAAATGTCTGGGAGCAACATCAGTTACTGGTATTCCTGCCTAATGATTCAAGAGCTTTCTGACATCTACAGATGCACATAAGGGTGGTGCTTGCAGCCAACAGAGACTGAAGCAATGCATAAAACCAAAAACTGAACAATAATGGGAGGTTTATTGTTCAATATGGCACACAGAGCTCCTTCCTGCAAGGTGTGGGCAGTCTGTGGGGTGCCAGCTGCTCTCAATTTCCACCCTGCAGGTTTGAGCCTCTGGGTAATTAATCTGAAACTTTCATATCTGAAATTAATGGTTAAAGGGGTCTTAACAATATCCAAAGCCCCTGATCCTGCAGACAACAGACAGGCAAAATGTCTATTAATTCCAGCAAGTTTGAAATTAAGTGCCAGGACTTCAGGATCAGGTCCTAGGCTTCAATGCACCTCGGATTCTGCTGCTGTTTACACCCAGGCAAATGAGATAAAATCTATTCTTGCATTAACTACCCTCATATTCTTTGGCTGTGTGCTAGCTATTTTCACCTTGGCTGCTCTTCCTCACTCATGAGATCAGCAGGAATCTATTGCCCACACTGTGTTCTACCTGGGATGAGCCACTGAGGGCTGCTGATTGGTACATGGGGTTAATTGGCTTGCTTCCTTCCCTCCAGTTGCTGAAGGAATCTAGCCTCAGGCAGAATTACTTAGTCATCATACCACTGCTGATATTATTGTGTAAGGCAGAGTTCTAGTTTTGTCATGGTAAATTGGAGAGAAAAAATTGCTATTTATTGTGGCAAAATTCATGGGAATATGGTTACAACTAGTAAAAAGTCACACGGAAAAGTGCTTTTTAAACATGTGCAATATACAGGCATATCCTAAAAAAGAGAAGTTGGGAGTCTTTTCTGGGTTTGTCTGAGTTAATTAAATTATTTCAACTTTTTTGTGACAGGGTGTCATCTCATTTTACCTCCCTTCTGACTTGCTTAGGAAGTCACACATACTCTACAATCCCAAGTTTCCCTTTATATTTTTGGTTTTTCTTGTATCAGTTTATGTACATTTAAACAGGGATGTGACAAAGCAGGCAGTTGTGAAGGGAAAGAAGAGGTACAATGGGGAGATGCTGTTTAAGACTGTTAAGAGCCCAAGGCTGGAGAAGGGAAAATTGGACTTTCCTTTTTCCCACTATTAGCTATCATGATTTTTATTTGATTTGATTAAACAAAAAATTAAAAGCTAGAACCATGAAACAGTAGAGAGGAAGCCAATTTACTCATTTCCCTTTAGTGGTGCATACTAGGAAGTACAGAAGCTTTGGGTCCTTTATAACATAGGCACTTTGATGTATCACTCGGTGCTAGAGAAAGTGGTATTGTAAAAGGAGTTGTCGCAAAAGCTTGGGTAGCTGCAACCTACTGGAGATGTACATACAATTGCAGTCTTATTACTAGGCATCTTTGGGGAGGGTGGCTTATATGTAAATTTGTGGCTAGGGACAGAAATTACACATAAACCAGTATATGTGACTGGAAACTAATTCATATCTGTAATACAACACAAGTTCAGTTCACTTTCTGAAACTGGTTTAAGATAAACCTGGATGGATGTAGTATCTGACTTAACTGATTTAGGTTAAATCGGTTTATTGAACTTCTGTCCCAGATCTCCTCCAGACTTCAGATTCAAGTTAACTCACACCCACCCAGCATCCCAGGATGTTTTGCACCTCCCCTGCAACCCTTCTTGCCCCTCCCCCCCCCCCCCCCCCCCCCGTCTTGCAGGCTGGGCAGGCTAGCCTTGGCTCAAGCTGGCTGCTCCAGCTGAGCAGGGAGGTGTGCTTTAGTGCTCCCCAGCTTCTGGCCTGGGCCAGTGCAGGCATGTGGCTGCATTTCCAGAATCAAAAGTGAATGTCTGTTTACTTGCTTATCAGTTCAGTCTATGCAGCTTAAACTAACCTGCGAAGATTGAAGTGGTTCAGCCTCGGGCTTGTTGACTGTTTGTACCTAGCCACATGTCTGCTGATTCTATTCAATGCTGTCTGCAGTGGTATATGCTGTACCCCGCTCTCATGCTGTGACCAGTTCAGCACAGTCTTTTTACAGTGTAGAGGACACTCTAACTATGTTTGTATAGTATAACTGGTTTGACTAGTCCTCCTCCTCCTCCTTCTGCCCTGGAGGAGAATTCATTGTGTAAGTTTGTGAGTAGCCAATGAATTAATTCACAGCTAAATCCACTGCTGAGTGGATCAGGGCACAGCAAGTCATAACCTTATTCCTCTCCAAAATTCTTATGTCAATCTGTGGAGACATCTCTCACATATTTTTGTGTGCTGAGGTTGAAGACCATGTTCCTTATTCCCACATGCATTTTCCTAAGCGCACAGCCCATTTACTTGGTTTGCGTGACTTGCTCAAGGCCTTGTTCCAAAGCCTTTAAATACATTGTGGCAAAAAATCATTCCAGTTTAAATTTACCAGCCTTCTATCTGTACATGCTCCAGAATCTCCTTTTTTGGGGGTTGCTGCTTCCTGTGACTGGCTGGCCTCCTGTGGAAATAAATCTCATCAAGCATTGCATTTATACTTAGTGCTACAATAGGTATTTAAGGTATTTGACTCCATATCTCATGATATCAGCCACTGAAATAAGAACTACGCTAAAGAAAGGAAAAGCTGTCCTACATTGTGTGAGATTAGGGATATCACAGTTTATGAAACAATGTAAATGTACCTGTTATCTTAGGAGCAAGTTCTATTCCAAAGAAGTTAAGAGAAAAAAATCATAATGCTACAAATCTTGTTTGAGAAGTTCTTGTCACCCAGATAGTACACCAGGGAAAGAACGGGGATATGGTTACTTGACAATTTGCTGTTATAAATGCTGAGGGCTTGCAAGGAAAGTAGACTGAGGGTAACAGTAATAAAACTGTGAGACTGTTTTGTCTGGAAATACAAGTCATAGAGGTTTTGAAAACACTTTAAATTGTATGCATGTGCAACACTTCTTTTTTGACAGAACATTAGGGCTTGTAGGTTTCATGGAACAGGGATTGTTTTTATTAGAGGAGAGGGTAGAGCCATGGGGTTGGACTAGATGACCTCCTGAGGTCCCTTCCAATCCTAATTTTCTATAATTCTGTGATAGATCAATTTAGGAAGGTAGGCCCAGAGTCTATTATCAGGGCTAGCTAAACTACAAAAAGAAAACAATATTATTTGTTATGGTCTAACTCAAAGGGTAATAATGTGTGTAATGTCTTGCAGAAAAGTACGGTAACTTTTATGTCCATGGCTCCATGAACTTTATGGCTGAAGGATTCACCCCATGCCACGGAATTCTGGCTCAGAATCACAGACTTTGCTTTTCAAAACTGTTTATAAATGTAATTATTGTTACAAAAATATTAAAAATGTGAACTATTATAAAATAGTCCAGAGATGCCTACTTGAGCCTACAAACAGCCTGAAACCATAAGCTGCCCCACTCATGAAATGGTGAGTTAGCTCAAATTTATTTATTGACCAATTCAAATCTCAACTTTCATCACTTCAGCAGAAGCATCCAATAGACTGGGACTCCCAGGTGGTACAAAGGAGACATGGATTCCCTTCTGCTTGATGCTGTTTCCCCCCTTGTAAAACAGGGATACTAATAAAATGGTCAGACTAGATGATCTACTCATCCCCTGTAGCTCTGAAATCTAATACCCTTTGCAAAACACTTTTTTGAAATTAAAAACAAAGCAGCACTTAGACAAGTGCTAAATATCATTATCTCTTGGGAGTTTCTATACAGTTTAGGCTATCATCTTCAGTCTCAATTTTGCAATGAGCTCTGTGTTCACACAGGGTTCACTGCAGGGTTGAATTCCCTTAAGCCATAAGATCTACTTAGGTCAGGATGTCATTCCTCTGGTTTTCAGTGTTGAATACACGCTGGGTGTTTAACAGATAATAATCTAGCTACAGTAGGTCACCAAGTTGCCTCAAATTAGCAAAAAATTAGTTTGGAAATGAAACAATGGGATCGTTGCCTGTCCCACTTCACCTATTTTTGTCAGTCAGCATTCTATATAGAAAGATTTTTTTGTTTCATGACTTACATAAAGGGTTTGGTCACTATGAGGATGCATCAATGGTGGCATATCATCAGGAACCTGGTTGCAACACAAATATGCAGTCAGACTGGTTAAATGCATAGTGAGCTTTTGATATCTCTTGAATATGTCAATCATAGATGCTTATGAGTACAAAGTCTCATAAGCACCCAGGTTTCCTTTCCTTTATGCTGTACATGTGTTCCTGGAAAACGGCACATAACTTGAATTCACATAAAGGAAACCCGCTTTATAATGTCACAAATAGGGATACGTTCCAAGACCTTGACTGTACTGACCCCCAGATCTATTTCTACCACTTTTACAAGACAGTTTTGGTACTCAGTAACAGCAGACAGTACACACAAGCACAGAGTGATGGTGAATGTTTAGTTGGTGTGGAAAGAGGGTGGTGAAGTGTCAGACTCCACGTCACTGGAGGTACAGGCAGGGCAACATCCACAGGATAATCAACAGGCACGGGACCCTTATCACCCTCCAACATCAGTGGGGTGGGGCTGGGAGTAGCTGA